TTAGACTTGTAAACGCAGGACTTACCAGCTTCCTTACAACCAATACTCTGATCGTAAACCAGCCCCCCCCCCCCCCCGATATGGGTTTCAAAAGGACAAATCAACCGAAATGACGTTATTGAAAGTAAAAGATAAGATAATCAGCAATATTGAAAATAAAATCTTTACACTCGGAATTTTTTTAGATTTTAGAAAAGCTTTTGACTCGATTAAGCATGATATTCCTTTAAAAAAAATTGCCAAAATACGGTATAAGAGGTGCAGCGTTGGAGCTAATTCGAAGTTATCTAACAGAACGGTCACAGTATACGGTAATAAACGAAGCGCAGTCCAGGCTTGAAAGTTGAAACCATTGCGTATGGTGTACTTCAGGGATCTATCTTAGGTCCCCTGTTATTTCTTCTCTACATAAATGACATTGTTAATCTGCCACAAACACCCGACATTATCATGTACGCAGACGATACAAATGTATTTTTTTCTCATTTGAACTTGATGGAGCTAGAATTTTGTCGAATGAGTGGCTAAACAATTTATCACTATGGTTGCGGTCTAATAAACTTCAGCTTAACACTGGTAAAACAAAATATATTATTTTTAAACCAAAAAATAAACCTGTTAGTTATAACATGAGTATCACATTTGAAGGAACTATTATCGAAAACGCAATTTCACATAAATTTCTTGGTGTCTGCTTTGATGAAAGTTTGACTTGGTCGCGCCATGTTGAACACCTCTGCTCGAAACTTCGCCAATCTATTGGCATATTACGCAGGCTTAGATTGCTTCTTCCATGTTGGTGGAAACGTCAATTATATTACGCATTGTTATACTCTCACCTAAACTATTGTCTACTTATCTGGGGTACAACAGGAACTACGAATTTTAACAGGTTACTTGTCCTACAAAAGAAAGCGATTCGATGCATAGACAATTTAGATTTTTGCGCTCACACCGCTCTTTCTTTCTCCAAACACAAGATTTTTACAATTCAGCAACAATATAACTTCAAATTAGCCTTATTAGTTTATAAAGAGATAAAAAAACGGCGGGTCCTCGTCTCTAGATATATATCCAAGGAAAATTACGACATATAAATTACGGCATGAGTTATTCCTTCAGGAGAGAATTCGCACAAATTACGGGTCACAGAAATTGAGCTTTTTGATTCCGGAATATTTAAACAAATTTGCGGAAGTATTAGATTTTATAAATTGCTGTTCTTCTTTGCGGAGCTTTAAAAAGGAAATAAAAGAGTACATTTTTACGCTCTCGGCTTAAATATTGGGCCGCTGCTTCTTGCTCTCCAGATTCAGATGATTACTATTTTATGCATTCATTTATGAATCGATTTAAGGCAAATCATCCCAGTTTGTGTCTGGTTTGTGTTTAGTTTGTGTTTAATTTCTGTTTTGTATGTGTTTAATTTGTGTTTTGTTTGTGTTTAATTTATGTCAAAACAGTTTCTGTGAAAATATGTTCACCTTGAATTTTATTATGACTTCCACACTGCTGCTGCGACAGCTGTAGCGCCGAAAAGGGGAATGGAGCCTCGTCAGGTAGCTTCGGCAACCTTTTGCTCCTTCCTCCCCGACATTTCATATGTCAACTAAACTTCAATTCACTTCAATTCAAATCAGTCGCAGATTTATTGCGAAATTGCGGGAATACCACGCGGTCGTGGGCATCTCCGAGGCGGAGCTACTTTGCCGAATTCTGCCTGTCGCTCTGACGGGAAGCGCAGCCGCATGGCGTCGGAGGCAGCCGCCGTTCGGGACACTGGAAGAGTTTTCGGAGCGACTACAGATGGAATTTTTTCCCGGATTACGCCTCATGTATGCTCGACGAGCTCAGGTCGCGGACCACACGAATCGCTGGTCGAGTTTGTACGCGTGCTACAAACCCTGTACGAAAGGTCTTACCCAAGCGCCCCAGACTCAAACAAGGTGTCGCTGGCTATCCGTCAAAGTCACCCGCAGTTCCACCCCTTCCTGCGCGGTCAAGCGTTTCAAGACTTGAACAGCGCATCAGATCCAGGCTGATATTCTGGCCGAGCTGAGCTACCGGCCTCCCCCACCTCCGGAGCCTTGCTTGGAACCGTCCTGTACTTTGCCGGTCAATAGCCGGCGAGGTATGGAGGAGCGAGGGCCCTGGCAGCTGCAACAGGATTCCTCGAGCGCTAGACCCGTATACGCTCACGCTACTCGTGGAGAGCACCAGGACTGCGAACCGCAAGTGCGGTTTTCGCACCCGCAGATGCAAGGCACACTCAGTGGTCGGCAGAATGAACATCGCTCATGTCTCCCACTTCGCTGAGATGGTGTCTCTTGTACAACCATCCCAAACTATAAACACATACCAGAAATGTTCGGCATAAAGTGAAGGGCAAATCACTCGGAACAAAGTCCGATTTTGAAGAAAGATTGTATGGGCGAGACAGTCACATAACGTCAGCTGTTGGTGCTTCCGATTGGACCAGAAGGACCAGGGCTGCTGCGCGCGCTTTGACAAAATTGTTCTGCCGCCAATTTACGCGAATCACACAACTCAAACGATTTTGGTGGATATTGAAGCATCACGAAATCTAAAGAACAAACTTTACAGTCGTTTGGTGGTGAACCGATTTCATGATTTCATTTACGACTGCCTGCACATGATAAGTTGCTTCGAAAGTACACCCCCCCCCCCCCCCTGCCCCTGTGGTCACCTGCAAAACGTGCTCACGCAATCATTGTTTCTTAGAGGGTACCTTGGAAAAACCAGGGTATTTAGTGCACTAAAATGCATTCCTTCATTTTTGGGTACTGTTAGCCTCATTGGGGCTATTACAGGAGTGGATAATACAATGGAAACAAAATCAACACAAGCAAGAAACCACTGCATACAGATACATAAACAAATATGAGAGAACTTAACAGAAAATTGTGACAAGGACGCTTCAAAATCAAGTGAGCTAATGCTGCAAGAAGGGCAACAGAGGAGGGGTACACGTGGTGATAGACGTGGTGCAAAAGATGTACACGTGGTGAACAAGGTGTATATCATTACCCTTAATACTTGACGGAAACTATGATTTTTTTTTTTTATTTCAGAAGACACTAAAGGATGTTGATGAAACAACAGCATCGCGTGGCGTATTCCATTCCCTGATGGATTGAGGGAAGTAACTGAATTTAAAACAATTGTTTCCTGCTGCGAATGTACATTCTCTTCTGGTGCTTCGAGGATTCGTTAGTGCAGATATCGAGGTAGCCCGATTTGTTCATTTTTATACAGTTACGAATATATTGCAGCATACGTATCAATCTGTCATAGTTTGTTCTTGATTCTGATGTTTGAAGAATTGCGAGCTCACCACACTTCGTGACCGAAAAAGCGCTTAAAAATGTACCTTGTGGGAGCCATTGGTTTCTCCCAACCGAGAAGGCGTAACCCGCAGACATTCGGCCGAAGTCGTCTTGCTTCGAGCCTGTTCGTTCCGTATCGTGTTGGAAGAGTACGCCACCATGCTGGCCTGCTCTCTCGCACTGCTCTACGCATCTCCCCTTTTCGGGTGTCTGTGTGTGCATGCGACCAGCGAGATCACTCGGGACTGCCGGGCCTGCTCTCCTTTGAGTGTACGGCCGTCGGCAGGCACGTAGCCAGGGGGGAGGCCCATTTGGCCCGCCCCCACCCCCCCCCGAAATCTTCCATTTTGCATGAGTCCTCCTCTCCCCCCTCCCCCTCGTACAGCATTTTGTCATGAGTGGGCCCCCCCTGAAACAAAATCCTGGCTACGTGCCTGGCCGTCGGGTCGAGGAGTTTTGGGTGGGACTTCGGGCGACGGGTCGAGTCGCGGCGTGAGCTCGTCCGATCGGTAACGACTCAAGGCTAGCGTTCCCTTTGTCTTTCAAAGTGGGCGTCCCCTGTCTCTAGTTGACGTCCGTCTGCCGACAGCTCTGGCTCGAACTCCTGCGACGACGGGTAGCGGCGTGAGCTCGGCCCACTGGCGATGACTCCGCACGCAATTACCCTTTTGGCTCTCAGGTCGCCGAGCTCTGCGGGCACTCTGTGTCCAAGGCTCGCTTGACCGCAGTGTCTTGTTGGGGACCCGTGGTACTCAATAAACGCTGTTGGGTACCGGGTTTATCGTTGTTGGCATGACGTTGGCGAACCCGGCGCGGCGACCGCCTTCGCTGGTAGCCGTCGGCCGCTCGGTGAGACGGGCATCGGATTCCTCTTTAAGCACCGATACCCAGACGCAAAGGTACGTAAATTCTTTACCCACAACCTAGATGCAATTGTAGCTGGATTCTTTCGAGTTTTTAAGGCAGTTGGTTATTGTACCTAGGTCCCGTACAATTTTGGCATTTCTGTAATGGGTCTTTGTAACGCATTTAAGTGAAGCTGCTTATTTCCGGGGTCGCACTGGCCAGGCTTCTCCTGTCGCATGTCTGCGGCGAACAGCATGTGAGGTTCACCGCGGGGTCCTCACTAGCTCCGCGTAATCAGACCGACAGATGGAAGGCGTTCGACGAATGTCAACGCGGAGACCGAAAACGAGCGCGCACCTTCCACGTAACATCCCCGGAAGTATAGCGGAGCTCCCCTCACTTCGCCGTCGAGTCTGCCCAACACCTGAGAGGCAGCGAGGCCACAGGGTCGAATTCTCGGCTTCATGCAGCGGCAGGCGGGGGTGTACCTCGCGCGGAGGGCGAACGAGACGAGGAGCGAAAGGCGGCCGATGGACGCAGCCTCCCGTGCGCGAGGTCTCGGGGTGCCTCCCGAACATCGGACGGAGATCTCGGGTCACTGTGAGCGCGCGCTGTGCCCGCTCGGGCTCCGCGCGCGCTACGACCGCGCGTGCCCCCGAGTGGGGCGCGCGCGGCCCACCGGTCGTCCGGACCAATGGGGAGGCGGGGGGAGGGCCGGCCGGGCTCGGCGGTCGAGCGGACGGCCACGCCCCTGCGGCGATCCGACGACTCGGCAGAGCCGGTTGGTATTGGTCTGGAGAGCCGTGTGCGCGCGAGTGAGACTCCGACGGCGCAGTGTGGATGCACCCGGGACAGCGCTGCATCGGCGGGACCGTGCCCCGGGTTCGTGCGCTGGCGACGCGACGCCGCCGACGCGTCGCCGAGGACGACCGCTGACTCGGAGCACCTCTACTGGAACTGGACGGAATTCTCGACGGAGAGACGGCGTCTGCAGGTGGGTCGGCTTTCCCGCTGGGGATGTGCGGTCCGTGGCGAAGCTGCAGACTCTGGGTTCGATGCGACCATAGGGCACTCGTGCGTTAGTGTTAATTGTTAGGAAAGCTAGTGACGCTTATTAAGAAGAAATATAAATCACGGTGACACGGGGAAAAGAAGAAAAGGGGGGTCGAGACAGTGACGTCCCAAACACTGCTGCCAATTTATTTTCGGACAAACGTTTTTACGGCGCAACTCCTCCATCGTCATCGGTGACCAGAGCTGTCCATCCCTCAACTCGTAAAGGGTGAACATGACCCAGTGTAAACCACCACTATTACGTTGGTCCGCCCGCACTCAGATGCCATTTATGCAAAGTGTCGTGATTACACGTCGAAGTGCATGCAGGGCGCGACTAGTGCAAGCGATCGGCTGTTTTTGTTCTATCACGGCAAAAAATGTATACGAAAAAAAAACAACCCCTGCATAGACATTGAGAAGTTAAGAAAGGCAGGGCATGGATATTCTTATCGCAGTTAATGAGCGCCTCCGGAGCAATCACCGAGCAGGATGATTACCGAGTCCGGCTCTGGCGTTTCATAAGCCGTCGGTGACTCTGGTGTGGCGGAAAGTGCACGAGAGTATTAACCCAAGTTGCCAAGTTTTTGTGCCCGTCAAAACGACGTCTAAGTAAAATACAGAAATTCGCCCAACTCGTACGGGCGCCAATTGTTCACACGGCGTGCATCCAACGTTGCGCTTTGTCAGCTGGGATCAAATGTAAACGCACGCTCATTATCAGTAGGGAATCACTCTTTGGTGGATCGTTCTCGTTTCTGCAGATATGTGTTAAGGTGCATTTTTCTTGTTCCGCTTGTTGGGCTTGATTCTTGCTTCGCTGCAGGCTGCGCGGGCTTTGCTCATATCATCTGGCGTCATTAACTCGTTCGCTTTTCCCCCCTCTATTACCCTCACTGGCGCCGTGGAATGCAATTTTGAAATAAGTTAAGAAATTATTCCTCGTTGCGAATCATCCAATCCAATGAATAATCCAATGGAAAAAAAAAATAGTATTTACAAGTTCAAATGTAGGAATACATTTTTTTTTTTGGGGGGGGTGGGTGGGGGGGGGGGAAAGGGGGAATTATATCTTTAATACAAGTTTTCTCATAACAAAAATCTAATTGAGTATTTAACTCTTGCGTTATTCCAATCGGAAGTTACTAAACCAAAATAAAATATGAATGAAAAAAACAAAACAAAAAAAAAAAAGGTCATTAATCTTTTTGAAGTTTTCATGCCTGTCTTCTTCAGTATCGTCTGCGATAAATATTTCGGTACCCGCAGAGTGCAAATGAGTTAGATACTTGCCCTAAATAGTCGCCATTCTATTGTGATGGGATATTGTTATTGCTTAAGCTCTCTGACTAACTTACCTTACCCACCTATGGTTTTACTCCGCGCCACGGCTTGTCTAATTCCTGTCCTGAATACCGTCATTCTGAAAAAAAAAAATATCGGAGAGAAATGAGAGGATTTATAATCCCTGGAACTCTGCCGAAAATCATATAAAACTTGTTTAATCAAATTTTATTCGAATACCCCTCCAATGCCGCAGTAATTAAAATAAATGTGTTTATTTAACTTGACTTTGCGATCTCTCACTGTTAAGAAACGCCTTAAACAGACTTTCGTTCTTTCGTTAATGTATTTTAAGTAAAAAATGCTATATAAAAAATGAGTGAGATTTTACGGCGACATGATGTCATTTCAAAGTGTCGAACCGACATTTTTATAGGTTCGGGTCGAGTCCGGGTTCAAGGCTTTTGGTTCAGTTTCGGGAAGGCAGAAGTAACGGTCCACACCGGTTCGAGATGCCTTAAGCCGCGCTAAAGTGAGAACATATTTTCTGCGTTATTTAGGCGATTGGCACTATTTCCGACGTGAACCGAGTAGCCATGTAGCTTTTATTTACCCTTTGTACAAGCCACTTTCATTTTCAAAAGCCAAAAATGAAACATTTTCATTACTTATTTTTGACTCCACAGAAAAAAAAAATCTACTTTAACGTAAAGAAAGTCGTATTTGTATACGAATCAACATCAATTTGCATACCACAGTCACATATATTTCAACTGAATCGAAAGGTTGTCATGAAGTTTGTAAGATTTTCTAAAATACGCGTGACTGACAACTTTGCGTCGCAGTGTTAAAAGTAGAATCGCAGTACTGCTCTTGAAATATGGAATTATTTAAAGTGCACAAAATCATGAAATGGGCATCTCGTCGCTATATATATCGTAAAATATAGTTTACGAAACACCTTGCATAGTATGTATGATGACGTCGCAACTGAGCTAAGCGCAATAATGTTTTCAAAATGTCATAAATGTTTTAGGACAACCTCTTTAAGTGTACCTTTTGTGGAAACACTTGGGCGGCAATCACAACGCTTGTTTTCCTAACCAAAAATGTTTACACTCAGCACCGTGATTTAGGCGAAGAATCATGCATAAAGGAGGGATCGATTTTGTTCACTAATCTATACACATCTTTGTACTCAGATCGAATCCGGCTTGAAATAGCGCGTACCGAAGTCAACATGTTCTTATACAGGATAAGTTTTCATAGCCTGGCTGTTGATATTTGTTCTTGATAAGATGCCGGCCAATTTAATTTACAAATAGACATCACCCTCCCTAATTTATGATTCCTGTTACATAGAACAAAGGGGTATTTTATGTTCTACTCGACATACCAGCTACTTAAGTGGGACTCACCTCATCAGACCCAGCAGTAGGCGCCTGTGAAAGCAGGTGCTTGCATTCTCAAGAAAAAAGGGTGTAAAAGGGTGTAAAAGGGTGTATCGTTACACCCTTTGTCCCATATAATACGCGCCAAAACTTTATTTCGACGTACAGAGCCCTATTGTCCAACAGGTTGCCCTAAATTTTACGAGGGGCTTGATAACGGTGCGATAGAACTTTTTTAAATAGCTAAAGTACGTATCAAAGACCACATAAAGAAAACACCGAGTATTTACAGTAGGGCGAAGAAAACCCCGATTATTGTCTTTCTTTTTTTTTTGTCAGCAAAACGTACATTAGGTATTTTAGTAAGTTGTACCACACGGATATCAAGCCCCTCCTAAAATTTCGGGCCGTCTGTTCGCCTGTAGGGCGCTGTACGTCGAATTGAAGTTTTGGGATGTATTATAGGGGACAAAGGGTGTAACGGATACACCCTTTTTATTTGAGAGTGTGGCGAATGTCGTCACAACGGACACCGCGCCATGTCGGTTCGCCCAGTCATGTCTGGCCGTTCATGGCTTTCCCGTGTCCGGGGGAAAAGACATCCTGGTAGTTGAGCCAAGACCGGGGAAGATTTGGACCCTTCCAGGCCGACCGGGTGATGCAATACACCACTTTGGTCGCCGCTTCTTGTAGATCGGTGTCCTGGCTTTGCCCGACCAGAATGATTCCGTCAGTCGCCTTTCCTCTCCCCACTACCTTTACCTTTTCTCTTTTTCTTCCCCTCTTTCCCCATTCACCTTCCTTGGTGGCAAAAGCTAACATTGGGTGGTGACAGATACCCTCGTCCAGATACACACTTGGTTATAGTTTCTGGCTAGCGCCAATCTCGTAACGCTTCCACCAGAGCCATTTATGTGATGGGGCGTTACCGATTCCCTCGTTGGGCTCCATGGTGGGCGGCACGCCACAGATTTCGAACATTCTTTGTTCTCTATGGCTAACCCTCCTTCAAAACCCGTTCCTAGACAGCCCAGCCAAGCGGCGTTGGCAGGACCAACCAGTCATTGCCAAAGCATCATAAATTGAAATGATTGCAAATTTTTCGTTATTTACTGTGTGAACACTGAGAAACCTGTCTCGAAACTCTCACCATTTTTTGGTGCAAAGGTCCCTGAGCACCTTATTGGACATTCCTACCAGGCTAAAGAGTTGCACTCAGAAGTCCTCCTCGTAGAGGTCTCTTCAAAGGCTCCAAGCAGAGTCATCCAAAATATGATACAAAGCATTGAGACCAGTCTTACAATAAGCCCACACAGGACGTTGAGCACCGTCCGGGTAGTTATCGAGGCATGAAAACGATTGCAAATAAGACGAAATAGTGAGGAACCATATAACAAACCATTTACTCTGAGAGAGTTAGATTTATCCACACTGCATGCACAGAACTCCGATGACATAGATTACAAGGTGATTGCTAACCTGTCCAGTTAGTCTAAAGTTGCTTTTCTGAAGTTCGGGAGACAGGTGTTTTCCCATTATCCTGGCACAAGGCAATTGTAGCTACTTATAAGCCAGGAAAAGACAACACCAATCAGCAGAATCATCGTCCAGTAGCTGTCACCAGTTGCCTGCGTAAGATTTTAAGCATGGTAAGCAGAAGGCTTCTTCTACCTTGAAGGCAGAAAACTACTGTCACGAGCTCAGAGATGGTTTCGTAAAAGAAAAATGGTTGACACTTTATCGTATAGTGGCACCGTGAGCATCAGGTGACCGTTTTCTTTGACCGGGCTGGGGCGAACGACACAACGTAGAGACGCGAATCCTTCGAAATTCGATAGCCATTGGTTTTAATGGTAACATAATCAAGTTCACTAAAACGTTTTTTTTTTTTTTTTTTTAATAAAGCGCACCTTTTAGGTCCGCTGAGAGACAAATCTTTCATATAAATTCGAACAGATTTGTGTACCCCAGGGATGTATTCTGAGTTTTACTCTATTTTTAGTTCAAATTAACTCGCTTTCCCACGAAATTTCCAGCCTTATTGAACTTTCTCTATACTCCAACAACTTAAAATCTCCATCCAATCTCCATCTTTGCGAGTTGCAGAACGTCAACTGCAGCTTTGAATAAACAAACTAGAAAAGTGGCTCGCGTGTAATGGGTTTCAGTTTTCAACAGAAAAGAGCGCTGTCGTACATTTTACACTGAAGCATGGACTATATTTTGAGCCTGAACTGCTGTTGAATTGTTCGCGCCTTGCTAGCAC